AGTTTTAAATGCAAACGTTATTTATCTCATAAACAAAGGACAACATAAGAGATGTTTCGAAAAAAAGCAATTTCTTGTTGTTGTCACAAACCATCTTAGTAGTTGTACATGTATAAACTGGTTATCTTGCACATGCTAACAGGAAAGAAAAATTCTGTCACACTTGAAGAGAGGTCTTTTGCAATCGCTGTTCGTGGCTTTTTTCATGAACTTCAAAGAAAAACCAGGAATTTGCTAACTTGAATTTACAGTTTAAATATAACACTGCATCTCTTTGTTCACTGTGTAGCCACATTCGCTGTTCAGTCGAGTCAAACTCAGTACAACAGAAGACGACAGAGAAACTCTGCAACAGATAACATCAAAATACAAAATTGGCGCCACTCTCCTTCCAATCAAGTCAGTGGGTGTCCAGGGAGACGGACGGACATACAGTTATGTTGTCGCTCTATCAAGCAACGATTCACCCGACTGGAAATCGCTTATGTTTCTCGCGAAACTGATTCCCAAAGTGTGTCATAACATCAACAGGTAACAACACCTTCTGTTAAAATCAGCAGTTTGGGGGGATATCCAATGTTTCCAGTGTTCGTTCCGACCCCATGTATGCTTCTAAACCAACCATTACACAGGAAGATTTTGGTCGCCTAGTTAGTTTTTAGAAAACGCCATATGAAGGAATGTTGATATGGAGAAACGTTGTTCTTGGTAGAAAAGTCATCCTCCATATATGAGCGCACGGTAAAAGACGGGTCAGATGGATAGTAACTAACTCTCCTGCGAGGGTCATATTCTCTCCACATAAACAGACACTACAAGCTGCAAGGGTTACGGGAGCGCGTATGAGGCCGTCATTAATTATCTGATGGGGCTCCCAAACGGAAAGGACCTAATCTGTATAAGCACTGTAATCATATTGGTGTTTCTTGTTCTTTCAGAGTTTGCTACACGTTCGGTAAGAGAATCAAGTTCCAGATACAAGATATCACTCCCACGTTTTTGTCACATGGAGTAATAAGCACTTTGAGACAGGCAGATCACGTGGCGTACTCTGTTATTCACAAACACGGTAAGACAATGCTGATATGGAGTAAGCGTACGGGCCACTATCTGAAAAAAATCGACGCCCTACCACCCCCTGCTTCGTCAATTTCTTTTGCTCTCGCTCCAGTTGTGGGCGCGGCCAGAGTGTGGAGAAAACTCTTCGTGTGGGGACGGTTTCCGTAGGCTACTATCTGACATTTCGAAGTTATTTGGTTAGTAAAATTTTGTGTTTATCAGGGAAAAGTCAGAGAATTTTGAAAATTAATGTCTGTGGTAACCACGTTAACATTGTATCATACTGTTTTTGCTTCAGGTGTAGTGGCCAAACTCAGCCAGATGCCCATTGTTTTAATACCAATCCACTTCGACCGAGATCCTATTGACCACATTCCATCGTGCCAGCGGTCAGTTGTGATCAGAACGTTTATCACCAGTGACTTCATGACTGGAATTCCTGCTACACCGGGAAAACAAATACCTATCGAGGTAAAGTGCTGTTAAATCTTAATGTGTGTTTTACGTGTCTGTAATCTAGTCCAAACACTATCGAATGGTGTTAGGCCTTTCTTAGCCTTTAGTGGTTATCTGAGAAATTTAAAATGGCTTTGGTTTCTCTCGCTTGTGCACTTTTTCCCGCGCTTGGTGCCGGCCGCGTGTTCGCTTCGAGTTTTTGATTGGTTCGCTGGATTGTCTGTGTTCTTTGTGATTGGTCAGACTGATTTCTTGTTTTAGTTTTGCGACACATATTTGGAAACTGTCTAGACTGTGGTCGGCCATGGAGACCAAAATTATTTGACAAAGTTCTGCGAAAACCACTCAAAAGATGCGAAGATATGAAAAAGAATAAAAAAAATTGTCTCGTACTATTCGCAATTTGCGTACATCGAGAACTGAATTACTGTTGGGTCCTGACCTTCATTTCTTTTTCGTTTGGTATTTTTCAGGTTTTGACTGAGATGGTTGCATCTTTAAAAGAGGTTCAAGGCATCTCGCGAGTTTTGTACGATTTGACTTCAAAGCCTCCAGGAACTACAGAGTGGGAATGATTGAAGACGGGTCACCCAAGCAGCAGTAACTGTTAAGCAGTTACCTGCGGTTTGACATGCAAAGGAGGCGGAAGTGTTGACCCTTACGCCTCGTTTGCATGGCTTTGTTAAAAACAAAACTTAATCGCAGAGTAAGCTGTAGTAACAGATATTTAAAGATAAGGGACGAGCTGGCAGAGCTGTGTAATTTATTTGACATGACTGTTGGCTGTGGAACGTGTAAAAAAAAAACAGCCCAAAAAGTTTGTAATTCCACACAAATATCACAGCTTTACTGCGCATTATGGACATTTGCAGTCACAGACGTGCACATAATCAATTGAGTGGTCTACCTTCTAGCCTGTGTGTCAGTCATTGTTTAGCCAGTCAATCACGAAAGAAAGATTCGCACTGACGACGGCCTTGTAAAATCGATGCTAGAAAGTGTCTTTTGTGAAGATTTCGAAATCTATAGATCAATTTTTTTTTGCTGCTAATCCTGAAAGAACAGAATTTCGTTCGTTGAATCCCTGCATATCTGACAGGTTTTGCCACTAATTCGTTCCCAGTCGTAGGTAAACATCGAAATTTTCCCTACAGTATCAATGCTTTCTCAAGCAGACAAGTAACGAGAAGAGAGAAAATCATCGAGTAGACATTTTAACATAACACCAAATTTCCTCAACTGTTGTTTAACGACATTTATAGTGATCTGGGACAATGAAATAAATACAGTCGAACCTGTCCACAACGGCCACCTTGGAAACCGAGGGAAGTGGCCGTTGTAAAGAGGTGGCCGTTATGGGGAGGCAGTACAACATTGTTTCCAAAATAAAATACTTATTTTAAGCACATGAATACGTAAACAAAACTGTACATCAGCCAAACAGAAACAGAGACCAACGACGCGTGGTTCAGATCAAATGTGGTGACCTTTTACAATAAAAAAGGGGTTTTGTATACAACGGTCGTCAGTCGTTGGTTAACTGGCCGTTGTCGAGAGGTAATTTTGGGATTTAGTGGCCGATACTAGGGAGTTGACGAAACCACGACGGCGACGCGGAGTACAACATTGATTAAAAAATGAATTCATATTTTACCTACGAATCTCGCGATACTCTAAAGTCATTTACTTTGTTTATCACTGTCAAAACTATCGCAAAACAAAATCCGGAACACAGCGAAAGAAAAGTTTAAAAAATTAGCCGTCGTGGTTCACGTTCTCCAGACAACACAAAATTTGGTCATTTAACCTTGTTGTCTTGCAGCGGACGGCGAGAAATGTACCAAGAATTATAACGCACGTGCACAGCCATTGTACTGCTTATTAATTCTTTTGTTCAGTGAGGTTCCCGTTGCCGTTGCCGTCATGGTTTCGTAAACTCCTTGCTGTTGTGGAGAGGTGGCCGCTGTAGAAGTTAAAATAAGAGTGAATGTATGGACTGTATGAAAGTGGCCGTTGCCGAGAGGTAATCGTTAGTGGAGGTTCGACTGTAAATCAGTAAAAGGATCAGTACATCATCTTGATGTAACACCACATTTTTGACACTAACATTTCACTTGACGTAAGTAACGCGAATAAAGCTATCGATCCTGGATAAAAGAAGATAAAGTCGTGCCTAGCTCAGGGGACTAAAATTTTAAAATAATCATACTAGACAGAACTGTGATAAAAAACTGGGCTATTTAATACAGGTAATGCTCCTTAAAATACGATAATTTATCTCACTATTATTGTTATTATTATTTAATATATATTTGCTAAATATGTTTTCAAGAGGGTATGAAGAGTAAGAGAGATAATCCTCCAAGGGAATCCCTCTTAAGTTACTTTTAAATCACACACGGTTTCGAAAATCCCAGGAGGTCCTAGAAATAGCCAATCCTGTGACGAGGATTTTGTTCACTTGGACAGCTCAAGGGGTTTTACACGCATTTTCATCTTCCACGAAAAACATCCACGCAACGCGCGTGGTAATATCCGCGGAAAAACTTGGCGGTACCGTGTCTAACTCGACAAGGTTACCTTTGGAATAAGGCCTACATAGGGGCTTAGGTCGGATTAACTCTCTTCAATGCGGTGGATTTCATGCTACTAACGTTAAATGTACTGGATAGAGTATAATTAAGGTGAAATTTCGTGGATTTTCGGAAAACATAATTCACTTGTAACGAGATTTGGTTGATTTTTTTTCGACATGTTTTGAAGGCAAACGATCTTTTGTCCGATGTTATACTACAAAAAATGTCTTTGTATCGGGAAAAAAATGGACTCGGGAAACTGTACCATAAAGACTAGACAATCAACGTTTTTTCATTCCTATGTCAAGATTTTCTTGTTTACGAAGTTAACAAAATATTCCCACAAGTTAATCTAGCTCATTAGTACGTAATTGATTTTGTAAATAGCATTTTAATACCTACAGGCAGTGACAATAAAAGTTCTTGTTCTATATTTTGTTGCTACTTTTGCTGTAATAACTTGTGTAATGCGAGATTCCATTTTTGATCGTCTTTCCGTTTCAATCTGAAATAAAAATACATTTGTTTCCCATTCCATTTCATAATCTCTGTAAAAGTATCGGTGAGCTATACACTGACAACTGAACGATTTTCAGGATTTTTAAGGAAAATATTAATTTTGGAACCTTTTGCAGGGAAAACGCTCAACAAGTAGGGATGAAATTATTTCTCGTTACTTCAAAAGTCAACAAATATATTAATCAAATTAAATGGAAAACCTTACAAAATTTAACTGTTGCCACGGTTAACATTTTACAAACAGCAACAGAGAACAGTTGCTAATTCTGGTCTTGCCAGTAGGTACATTGATTGATTGATTTTATTCTATTACTGCTAGTTTCCTAATGCTATCTCATAGAACTCTTTTCTATCAATTCAAGAATTTGCAAACGGGACTTTGGGCGTGATGCTCAACGACTTTGCCTTTGAATTCTAAAGGTCTCTGAAGAGTCTCTTGGCCGAGACGAAACGCCGCGTCAGACTAGCCACGAACATTTCACAAGTATTTGACAACTGTTTGCTTTTGTATAAATTTAACTCGTGAACGTACGGTTGGGAATCCTTCTGCGATAGAGGGCCAGACTGTAAAAATCAAGAATTTGCGAACGGGACTTTGGGCGTGATGCTCAACGAGTTTGCCTTTGAATTCTAAAGGTCTCTTAAGAGTCTCTTGGCCGAGACGAAACGCCGCGTCAGACTAGCCACGAACATTTCACAAGTACTTGCTTTTGTATAAGTCAAGATAATACAGTTTAAATTTCACTGCGCGGTTTTGAGCTTCCTTATAAGTTTCTTTTTCTGAACAATTTCTCTTTCCTCTTAATTTAAAATACTCTTGTTGTATTTACAAATGCAATGCAACTCGTTTCTCTTGTAAATAATTTATCACAGGTCAAACCTCCCTCTGATATTTTGACATATAAATTTGAATTTACCTTAAATCAAAAAAAAAAAATTTTCAATTTGTATCATGCTATGGAAGAATTTTATGACGCCGCCAAACCATGACTCAACTCTGAATAGAATTCAGAACCTTGCCCACAATTATGTCTTCCCTGAGAGCACCGCACTCGTCCCAACAAACGCTTAAACCTGTATTTCACGTTTTTCAGGTTGCCAGTGGCCGCGTTCCTGCCACAAGTCTCTCGCTGACCGAATCCGACGCACACCGGCTGTAGCAGTGTTGAAGATACGGCAAAAAGAACCCAAGACATCCATCGCTTGGCAACAAAGCTAGAAACTCGCTGGGAGTCACTATTCTGGACAGCTGGTTAAGAGTCCCTGTATAGAAATGAAAAGAGAACGTAGATTGGGCCTTTGTAACACTCACTCAAGTTATTTCAAATTAAGACAACATGCATACAGAATATTTGGGATCGGTCACCCAAGCAACATGTGTGCACTGCGTGCGAACAGAGGGGGAATGGGAGAAACGAGCCTGCGAGCAGGCTGGCCTTTAAGTCATACGTGCGATCCGGCCGGGGGAAGTAGCTAAAAGTCTGGTGCTTAGCCGCTCGCGCATGCTCCCTCGGCTAAACATAAGCACGCAGGCTTGGAGAAAACTGCTGTATTTCAATTTACACCATTTCATAGAGACATTACTTTAAGCAGCTTGTAAAAAGTACCTTTTAAGACTACCACAATGGTCTCCCGCTTGAACTCTGAGTCGTCACTGTTTGTATCTTCTTTGCACAAGTCAAGTAAGGTTTGGACAAGACGCGACCACTAATTAAACGAAAACAATAATTACAGACCAAAAAAAAGGTCTTTTTGCCACGCTCACGAATGAATCTATGGATAATTGCTGGTAATTTTATTACATTATGGGTGCGTTTCTTTAAGAAAATCCAAGATTGTATTCTTAAATCCGAAAACGGATTTTGCGTTTATTTGCTAAACAGATTAATCCAAGATCTCTCGGTTCATGGTGCGTCAAAGAAACCTAAGAATCCTTGGCAGGAGTGCATTCTTCGGTTCCTTTGACGCACCATGATCCGAGAGATCTTGAATTAATCTGTTTATCAAAGAAACGCAAAATCCGTTTTCGAATTTAAGAATCCAATCTTGGATTTTCTTAAAGAATCTCACCCATATGTTAACCTGTGCGAATGCACGACCGCAGCGAGTTTGGATAAGTTTACGTTTTTAAAACGTCAGTTTTTGGTTGTAGTAGAGAGGACCTGATAATTACACTTAAAACATCTCAACCAAAGGAAAGATTGTTCAGAGATGGTTTATATAAAAATAGACAAAAACACTCTCGAGATTTTAACTGTTACGGCTCATATAATTCCAATTTTACATGTAAACTTCTTTTACAAGACAGCTGATTCTAGATTATTTTTACTTGCTCTATAAAATCATAAGTGGTAAACTGGAACACTGAGAAATTGGCATTGTTCAATTTTAGCAGCAGTATCTCACCTTTTCGATATCCTGACCAAAATAGTGCTCTGCATAAGGTAAAGTTATCAAGGGGAACTCATCTAGCATAACAGCAATGGCCTGCAACACGGCACAAAATAACCGAGGGAGATAACTCGCGTACGCTAAGAAATAACTCTTAAGGACTTCGAGTGGTTTTCACTTGAGTGTCGAAAAGTAATTGGTTTTGCATTACTACGCTACACGATTGACTTAAAAAACTCGCGCCACTTTTTCATCCAATCAGAAGTAAAACCAAAACCAATCAGGACTCCGTATACGTTTTCCCGCGCTTCACGTCAGCTACATGTGATTACGTCGAGTTGTGATTGGTTCACTATATTGTCTATGTCCTTTGTGATTGGCTAAGCCCGCTATAGAGATCACTTCGGTTTTGGACTTAAGACAGTCAATTGAAAACCGCTCTAACATGAAAATTTCTTCGAATAGACTTTTAACGACATGATGGTTTTACAAAAGTGTAAAAACACCTCCTACATTACATTACAGGAAACTCGATAATAACGGTGTGATTTTGTAGAAAAAATTTAAATACTCGAAAAATGACAGGAACCCGTGAGGAAGGGAGGCGGATTACTAACGATGTCTAGGATGAAAAAAAAAAGACTAAAACGCGGGAGTCAAGGTTTTTCAATTTGTTCTCACAATCCGCGATACTTGGTTGAGGAAGGGAAAAAAAGAAAACGAACAGGAGTAGCTTCGCCTGTATACATTGCGACTAAATTACGGGTATACTGTGCAGCGCTCACAAATGATAGTATAAGTGCGTAATGTATAATGAACTCTTAAGAGAATTACCGCTCCTACCTCAGTATGTCTGTTAACATGAGGCAAACAGAGAAGCAGTAAAGACGTTCTTTCTTTCACCTTTTGGCCTTCAATTTTGCTCAAGACAATGTTACACAACTCACTGCTGACAAACTTGGAACACAGCAGCGCCTGAAGAAAACGTGAAACATTTGAATCTCAGTCACAGAATAAAGAACTGCCTAAGACTCAATCAATCTATGAAAACACTCAGCTTGTTCGTAAAATAGCAGGCCCACAATCCCTCCTCAACACCTATCCCCTTCCAGAATTTAAGCCCACGAAGTCAAATTTAAATTCATCACTTACAGAGAGATTTATAGTTTCTTCCGATCTGAATTTGATGTCGTTACATCAGCTCAGAGACTTGCAATGTTCATTCAACGACTGTAGAGCTTGTTTTCTTTTCTTTTTCTTCGTCATGCTTGTAGCGTTCTACCAAGCGGCAATCTTGAATGCATCGTAATGTTTTTAAATTCCTGTCTAAATGTTAGCCCAAACACACCTTTAGAAACACAAAATTTCTTCCGATAATAAGGCCCATCTCGGAAAGTCACCAAAAGTCTTTCGGACAAATATACGTTGAACAGGCAATCTTTTTATCGGAATTTTACGGCATGTGAAACTGAGTTGACTCGAATACAAGCAACTCACCTGAAGTTTCATGAGATCCTCATTACAGCAACAACAGCTACACTCCGTAAGGCACGCTAGCGTGTCTACACTACGTTGAGTTGCAAGATAAGGAACCTTGGCAGCAGTACGTCTGGATGGACCGGAGAATAGTGAAGAGGACTTAGATAGCTGCGGGGAGCACTGGGGAGGGGCTGGCTTATAGAGAGGGCAGCCTGGTACCCCAGGGAGCGGCAAGGACCCTGGAAATAAGAATGCAGACAGTTTGCAAGTCTGACTCCTTTCGTCATTAGTTACGTCAAGGTGAAACTGTATTTCTTTGGAAAGCATGGTGTTATAATGGTTCATATATTGAGACCTGGTGTTCAAGCTCTGGCCGGGGTCATTTTGTTGTGTCCTTGAGCAAGACACTTTTCCCGCATAGTCCCTCTCTCCACCCAGGTGTATAAATGAGTACCGTGGACTACTTAAGCCCCGAGAAGATCCAGAAAGGACGGTAACACGTCTACCTCTAAACAAGATCGAACAGTTCAGACATAAATTTAAATGAGTTAGCCAAGAACAGCATCATATGCTGAGTGTAGTCAGAGAAACAATACTGATGCGCGAAGGATTTCTGGCAACAAACAATAATCCTTTTTGTTTACAATGAAAATCAAATCAGGCTTGACCAACCTTGGAAAGGTGACAGCTCGTTCAACCACGGATGACGCGCTCCAAAATGTCCTTCCCCTTTAGGCTTAACAACAAGAGTCAAAGTGTCACTGTAGTGTGTCTATCGTTGTCTCCTTTACGCATCTTAACATTTTTGCGCGACAAAGGTGCCACAAAACTTGGAAAAAGGTTTAAGTCAATACCAATACATGTCAAGTTACATCGAAAGAAACGTTTTAATAAAAGAAAACTGAGCTCATTTCCCTCAGATGCAGCAGTACTCTCTTATGGCTTCAAAATAACAAAATCTGTTTGTGTTTCTTTCACTTCAAAGAGCTTCTCTCGTTTAGAATGTTTGGCCCAAATTACGTATACATAATAGTCCCGATAAAGCTCATTAAACAAAATTAAGAAACTTGATTCCAAAAACTACTACGGAAAATCGCGAAATATTGCCCTTCCAGAATCACGACTACTTTATGCAATAGGGTAAACATCGATCTTTAAACTTAAAGAGAATTTGAGAAAGCCTTTTAGCTACCACAATGGAGTGGAAGATAAACTGAGGGTTTAACGCATTAAGTCACTCACCAAGCTAGAAGTTCGGGAGGAGGGGGACAACTCACATGTGAAGAGGTCGGGGATGTCGACGGAGATTTGAATAACCCTCGATTTACACCCATAAGTGAGACGAAGAGCATCCCCAACCTCCCCCAGGGAGGGGTGTAGTGTCGCTGTCCCCTTCTACTCCCCCTCTAACTTACAACCCTGACCCACAATCCTCCTTTCTCCTCTTGTAATCGTAAAACACCGTTATGAATTTAACATCATAGCCTAACATGTCCATTTGAACGCAGTAAACTTACAACGTGTTGATGAGATGCTGAAGTCTGGCGCTTTCCTCGAGTGTTTCCAATTCTTTCCAGATATATCCCACAGAGTGGAATCTACAGCCAAATGTATATTTTACCAATTAGTTGATATTGCAAGTTAAAGGATAAACTCTTTAACTTTCTCCCATTTAAGTGATGAAACATGAGCAAGTCTCTTAATTTCCCACTACTCATGAGGTGTACGAAGCTTTCCATTCGACCAAAGGGTTCGGGAATTTCGAAACGGCAGCAAGTTGTTCTAAATTTCCTGGGAAACTGTCAAGAAAGTTCTAAAACTGTTTTATTCTGAAACGCGACGCACTGAACCGAAAATTCAGGAAAAAAGAATCAACTGGAACGGACATTTCGCGAACGGAATTTTCAAATGTCTACGTTTACATGTACCTCGCATGGTGATCCTTTTTTATCGAAATTTCGACATTTTTCATCTCGGTATAGTCGACTGAAAAAATTGTTGTTTCAACATTCACCCTAGGAAATTTCAGAAATTAAAACTACAGTTTTTTTTTTTTGTCAAATGGAGAGCGCTAACAGTTTTAAAGGAGCTCAGTCACGGTATTTTGAGCTATTTTGGCCACATACAAAATTACCTTTAAATGGTAGGAAACCTGAAAATAACAGTTTAATAAGATAGAAAAACACCAAAGAGATAATGATAAACCATAAAGGAACAAGGATGGCTACGGATGGAGAAGATTAACAAGGATTACAAACGACGAATTTGAAAAATTGAGGCTAAACTTTTCAATATGCGCAAACCGTGACTGAGCTGCTTTAAGATGTGAGAAGGAACTGCTCACAGCCAAAAGAACTAGTAATTACAATCACAGCGGAAATTTTGTAAATAGCTTACCACTGTTACATCAAATGCGTCAAGTCTGTTTTTATCTGAAACCGAAAAACGGTAAAATAACGCTGGATTATTATACAGTTATGTAATAATTTGAAATAACAGAGCTTCAAAATTCGATGGGTCTTGCTCTCTCGGGATTTCCCATCACCCCCGCCACTTCCCATCTCTTATGTTTAAATTTTCCCTGAGAGGAGAAGTGCTTTCCGAGGGGAGGCACCTTCTTAAGGATAAGAACAACTGGTGCAAGAGCAACTTCAAAAATCCCTTGTAATTTGGATGATGTACCTGAATGAGTCCCTTGCTATAGGTACGCAATGTGTGCAGAAAGGTGTAAAGGCTACACTTGTGTGGTAATTTTCAGCGGAGATTCGTTTTTGCTCATATGCATAACGGACATTTTGAAATCACTTGCCCAGTATATTTTGCCTTGATTGTTGTCTACTGAGTCCTATTACTATGATTGTTGTTTTTTTTTTTAACATCATATTTCAATGAAATAGAGAGTTAAACTGTGTAATAGAACCTTAATTTACACACAAACCATTAAGTACAGCCTCCATGAATCCAATGGTGACATCATTGTGGCTTGCATCCGGTTTACTAGCCTGACAAATAATATTCACAAAAAAGTGATATTTTGTTATTTCCTAAATTCAAATGTCACATACACAAGAAATATTGAAAAAGCAGCAACACAATCTTTGCACTTTACCCCCAGCAGAGTGAGTAGTGTCTCCACAGACAAGGATTTATTATCATGAAGAGTAAGGAGAACCTCCAGTAAAACCTTAGGTCGATGTTTTCTTAAAAGCTGTAAAAAAAAAAAAAAAAAAAAAAAAAAGCAAAGACATCACCCAGAAGGCTTAACCCTTTATTTATTTAATATCTCCATATAATATTGTTATAAGATTTACGACTTTCTGTTTTGTTGACCACATAAATGGCAGATTCAATTTGAAGTTTCCTCTTGAACAAATGAGTTAATCCCAAAGGTAAATAATTTAATTAAGAATTTAAAAATCAAAATAATATAATATACTATTTATATCTTGTTATAAATATAATTATTAGCTTCCCTTGATTTCAT